TTTTCCTCAGCACTAGTTCTCTGCTACTGTCATTGGTTTTCTGGAAAAGTATCCTCTACTGCACCAAAGCTTCCTGTGATACCAGAGCTCTAGATGTAGTTCTACTCTTTTGAGTATCTGATGGTATATCAATGTGTGCTGTGTTGGTGTGTGCATGTGAGACACGTAGTTCTTGTCTTCAAGTTAATGGTGAGACAATTCTGTCTTTAGATCCACTCATGGACACTCTGATGACTGATCCTGTGAGGCTGCCATCTGGAACTATTATGGACAGGTCAATCATCCTGAGGCATCTGTTGAACTCTTCCACTGATCCTTTCAATCGTCAGACACTGACTGAAAATATGCTGGAACCAGGTAACCTTGCTCTGACACTGGGTGATGGAATTGTTGGCTTGGGGAAGCAATTTCTGTGCAGTTTCTATTCCATATGCTTTTAAAAGATAGCAATGCTGCTTTGGCAGGGTCAATAGCGCTTTCACCCCAACCTGGAAAAGAGAGTTCATTCATTGGGTTTTCTTTTTGTTTGAAAAAATACTCTTTAACTGCTGGGCTAATGGATATTGTTATGCCAGGTAAATGAGTAATTCATATGTTCAAAGCTGTGCAGAAACTACATTTAGGCAGAAATGACATCCAGAAGATAATTCTGATAATGTTTCTAGAAAAGGAATGCTCATGGTCATGAGGAGCTTTCTTGGGGTAGTGGTATTACTGAACAATTCAACTGTCAAGCTAACCATTTTTTTTTCCTCTTTGCATTATTAGTGCCAGAACTTAAGGAGCAAATCCAAGCCTGGATGAGAGACAAGCAGAATGCTGATCATTAAAAATTCCCTCGCAGTGCACGCCAATGCCAATGGGAAGACCAGGGCGTGGGCTGGTCTGGTGGAGCAGACACATTTTGAAAGCTATTGATGGGATTAGCACGCCCACTGGCACTGACTTGCAGTAGTGACCAGGAGCATGCGGATGAGAAGAAAAGCAGCTTAATTCTTGTACATATATTTAAGTGATAACGATGGTCAATAACATGGAGGACAAATTAGGAAGTTGCTTATGTTACAAAACTGTCCTTCAGTATGTCACGTTTTGGAGTTTTTACAGCTGAATTATTTTAGCAAAGATGAATGGATCAGGGCAGCATCCCTTCAACCTTATTTTTTACAGCCAGATATCCGTTAATTTGATTGTGGTTAAAACCTTGGACATTTTGCTGCTAAAGTAACTTTTTCCTCTTTCCCTTCCTTCTTCCACCCTGCAAACCTGCACTGCTGTCTTTTTTTTTTTCTTTATGCAAAAAAAAATCCCTGTGAATAACAAAATCATTCCCCTGCCCTCAAAAGAACATATTCTGTGCGATAACTGTGCCTGCAACAAAGTGTTAATCTTGGGATCATATTTTTATATGATACATATTCACATATTTGGGTTTTTTTAATTGGTGTTAGAAGACAAAAGAATACTTTAAAAAAGGCAAAGATTTGACATGTGTATTTTAAGTTCTGGTTCTTTGAGATCTCACTTTTCTTTATGTTGATCTGGATGCTCTGGTATTTTTGACAAGCCTTGTGACAGACGTATGATAAAACAGCTGCCATGAATGAGATACTTGGAATACCAGGATTTCGGTGACTTTCTAAGAAATAAAATCCATTCTTCTAATGCTGAAAATACGATTTATGCTAAATGACAATTCTGAGCCTTTAGAGCTTGTCCGCAGAGAGCAGATCCTTTTATTCTTAGAGGTTGCAGTTGGGGCAGGGGTCATTTTTATGTTGCTTACCAATTTGTATCCATGGCTTGGCCTTACCAAAGCATAAAGGGTGCAGGAAATGTAGAATTACATTTTTTAAAAAAAATAAAAAATATTCACAAACATTTTTGTATTACTGCCCCCTGCTTAAGATACTTGAATTTCCTTTTTAAAAAGGATTTAAAACCACAGTGTTTTAAAATTAAGTCTGTAAAAAAAAGGTTGTTTTTCTTTTATTTGTTTTTATTTTTTCGCTGTGTCCTCTGTTCAATTCCTGACTCTCTTGAACTACAATAAATGGTGATACACACTCACAGAGAATCTTTGCTTTGCCTTTCATTAAGTGAATCACTGAAAGTAGAAAATACAAGTGATTGGGTGACTCTGTTTAGGTTTCTTGATCCTGATTTAGGACTCGGAGAACTTAGTCAAGGGTATGTGGAAAAATGGCTGTGAACACAAATATCAGCAGTACTTCAGACCAACAGCTTTTCCCAAGTGGGTGAGGGGGTGACTACCCCTTTTTGCTTTTATGGTTCTGCAGCAAGGCTGCCTTGCTCATATTTTCCCACAGGCTTTTGCACACAATGGCTGAGCTGCAGCAGGGAAACGCACGTGGTCATAAGATTGGCTAGGGGAAAAAAAATCACTGTTCACCAAACAGAAAGGAACTAATAATGCATTCTTCCAAGAAACTGTAAGCGACAGGGAACACGTGTGAGATTAATATAGTTGCCAGCCGAGACCTGTGAGCAAAAATAAATGTTGTTCTGAAGCCAGAAGTCTCAAGTACCAAATGTTCTCAGCAGCTCGCATATGATCTGTAAATGACAGGGTGGGCGTTTGTGTGTGGAAAGTAATCAAGGTGCTTCATGTAATAAAATAATTTTCTTAACCCTACCAGCACTTTTAAGTGTAAGGCAGTTCCTAACAGCACAAATGAACAAAGTACTGATGTGAAGGAAGGTTTGAGCAGAGATTATTAGCACAAAAAATCCGTTTTCCCTGTAAGATAAGAGCAAGGAGGAAGGGAATGTGAGGATTCTGGAATGCCCTTCACTCTAACAAGCGGTTACATAAGATTGCGTTATGTGATCTGCAGAAAATATCTAGACTGCTTTCCTCCCCCCAGAAACATTTTTTTAAGGGGAGGCAGTATTTTTCCTCCATGTAACGCCTAGGTGAGTTGGGTTTTCCCGTGGGGCCTTGGGCTCGTGTTGAAGTCGCTTGGGGATGAGGGAATTGGCAGTTCAGGGCGGTTTTCGGGCGGCGGGGCGGCCTGCGGGCCCCTCGGCTCTGCAAGGCGGGGGGGC